GGCGCATCTGCAAGGAAGCTCTGGGTATCTGTTGGCTCGCCAATTAGCAGCGGAGTATGCCGACGAAAGGGCACTGTAAGAGGGCACCCACTTGCCTGCCGTGTTGCCACAGCCTGGAGGTATGGAAGTATGGCAAATGAGTTAAAACAAAGGGAAACAGTTAAGCTCAAAGTGAGCAGCTCGTAATTTCAAGCGGCAAGCGGTACACACAGCACTCAAGACTCGCCCATTGTGCCGTTTCGACTTTGCCCTGGCAGGGAGGCAGCGAGTGGGCAGGGGTCTCTCAGTTACGTTTGCTGATTCAGTTTTTGGCTGCTTTTGGTTATTGGGGGCAGCATAGGACTCAGGACAGGACAGCTGGGAGCTGCAACTAATCAACTTTTGTAACTCCATGGGCCGATAAGCTGGCAGCGAGAATGCGCAAAAACTGTTTTCACTGCGCTGCGAATGTTTTGAATAAGTTTTGAATAATTTTTGCAAATTGCAAACGGAACAGCAGAAATGGCTGAAGCAACGTAGAGAGATCCCTGCGGATATACAAGCGGACACGAGTGCGAGTGCGAGTGAGAGTGAGAGTACGGGTGCTCGTGTGTCTCTGGCACAGATAGAGTGGGAGGGGGGTGGCAAGGCGGCACAAGAGAAAGAAGTGCTGAGCTGTGCATAAAGCGCAGATAGACATGGAGATATCCGGCAACTGACATTCATTACGACATAAATTCGTTTAGTTGCTCGGACTGGCACACCACACACACACATAGCGAAAGCGGAGATAAGACCACTGACTACAATTCTTCTGCTACGTTCCCTACAGGCCACAGTGCCACAGTGCCACAGCGTGCCGTGTGCTGCACCGCAAAATGCCGTAAAGTAAGTGCCGAGTCCTGGGCCAGGCACAAACCTAAATACGTTCCTTTGAGTTCAGATTGTCTGTTTGCATGCAAATAAATAAGCCAACAGCCAGCCAGCCCAACTGCAGCTCGACTTGCAGCTCCAACTGCTGGCTGAACATCTCCTTGTGGGCAGATCTCGTTTTACTTTAATAAAACTATGCAACGATTGAGCCTTGATTGATCAGCGAAGCAGGGCCAAGTCCAGTCCAGTCAGAGGGCTCAAAAACTGAACTAAATTTGCCAGCCAATGGTTGCATATATTTTCCAACGCAGTTCGGGTGGTTTGTGGGGACTTAAGACGCTGTCAGTTTGCTTGCAGGGCACCCACGTACATCCTTGCGTCCTTAACGATCAAAACATTACACAGTTTTGCTTAATTGCCCACATAAACGTCAGTTAAGGCACAGCCACATGCACAGCCACATGCACAGGCACAGGCACATGGCATGCAGGACGCACTTGACTCTGTCTCACTCTCTCTCTGGTGACTCCTTGAAGCGTTCTACGTTGCCTGTCAACACTACCAGTACCCTATACCCATTGCCCTTACCCATACACATACCCGCACTCGCACCGCACTCGCACTCGCACTTGTCTTTGTTGGAGTATTGCAACAACAATGACTTGAGCATTTTGTAAACAAATGAAACAATTAATTTGATTCCACTCTGTTACAGCCAAATCCTATTAACTGCAACGTTAACGAAAAATGTTACCCCCCCCCCCCTTTTGGGTGCCTTTTGGGGCTGGGTGGTGTTGGGCTGTCTGCTGGCTGGGGCTGAGCTGTCTGCTGGGTGGTTGGGCGCATGTGTGTGTGTCGCTGCCACTTTCATGCATACTTAATTTGTCAGCTTGACGCTGGTTTACACCCATTTTAGATACCGTTAACTAACTAACTGTTGCGTCCTGAAAGCGGGTCCTGGGGGGCGGGTGGGGGGGGGGCCAGCACACGAAGGCAGTTGACGTAGCATAGCTCGCTGGCAGGAGGAGGAGGGAGACTCTCGGAGTGTCTGAGTGTGTGAGTGTCTAGGCCAAGGGATGGCATTGGCGTTCTGCCCTGCACAATTTATGGCCGCTCACATATGGCGCCCCGCAAGGTGTGTTCATTTAAATTTTAGGACAGCTTAAGACAGGTCGAACCGTACGGTAGGTACGTACGTACCCGGCGACTCCTCTCACACACTACACTTGAGTTATGCATTGAAATTTAAACTATGCATGTGCTGGGGCAGCGGCAGCGGCAGGGTCTCGAAGGGAGTCACCTCGCAAGACTCCAATGTCAAAATGGTAGGAAGACTTTCGCGAAACTTACCTCCAAGCTGACAGTACACAGTACCTCTGTGTGTGTGTCTGGTGTGTGTCTGGTGTGTGTGTGTGCGTTTGTTAGTGTGGTAATTAGAAAATTTTATGTGATTACTCTTTGTACAGACACACACATGTACACACACACACACACATCTACACACATTGTCATAGTCGTAGACCCATAGAATGGGTTGACAAAAAGAGCGACTCCTTCCAGTAGCCAACTGGCAGCGCCAATGAGTAGAAGCAAAGTACAAAAGCGCCTATTAGAATATTAATGGAATACTAAATACACGTATAACGTCAACCAGTGTGTGCCCCATGCTACCCCGAGCCCAGACCAGACCCAACCAGACCGCATCCCCCAATTCCTGTACTCTCTCCCCAGCCACTCTGGAACTCTGAAACTCTGAAACTCTAAAACTGAAACTGAGTCTGAATCTGTAAAGATGCCAATGGATGCTCACTAGACTTAAGGTATGCCAACTGCTGGGGGGGTATAGGCTAAGACAAAGTCCAGCAATCGAACAGTTGGCGAGCCATAAATGATGGCAATGACCCATCCATTAGGTGTCTGTGGACACAGGCAAATACAGCTACAGCTACAGCTACAGCTACGTGCAACTGCGTGCAACAATATGGCGAAGCTTTCAAATCAAATTGGCAGAGCGCGCGCTGGCTGTTTTGTTACATTCACTGCTGCTGGGCTGGGGCAAAAGCAAAGCTCTTTGGCTGCCAAGCTCGTTGGTTTTTCAGCTCAAAGCAATAGCCGCAGAGCAGGGAACTTGGCTCACAGAATAACTCAATTTACTTGCACGAATGCCGAGGCAAAAGAGTCGTCGTCGGCTACTGTCGTCGTTGTCGTTGTCGTTGTCGTACTCATCGGCAACTCCCACAACGCCGAGGACTACGATAACGAGAACGAGGACTAGGATCACGACCACATCGTTTGTCCTGGCTGGGCGGCTGCGGTGACCGTGTCTGCGTTTTGCCCGTCACTGCCATAGCCGTCGTCGTAGTCGTCGTAGTCGTCGTAGTGCTCGCTTAGACGCACCCACAAAAGGCACTTCAAAGCGCCATTCAGTTCAATTGAAGTGGTGCTAGAAGAAGGCGTTAACCAACGAGCACTCGGCTTGAGTCTTCGTTTGAGCGCTTTGCCTGTAAAAAGTGCGCACAATCCCAGCCGTCGAATAAAAAATCCGCATGTCCAACCAATTGCAGGGACAAGGCCCTACCATACGTCCATACGTTCAACGTACCCGTACCCGCGTTTCCCTTTCCCTGTTCCCTGTTACCCATTGAGACTGTTAGCCATCTAATAAATTCATATATGTACATGCTAGCATATAATACGAATATTCCCCCACACACATATGGGTATTTATTATTTACTCATCATATATTTCTCTTGAAGTATCTTGCAGTGTGTTACAATATATTTGATGTATATGGTAATATTCCAGTTCACACATACATACATACATATGTATATTCTCTAGCTTATCATTTGTCTATAAGTATGTATAAACATTACGTGTCCTAATCGTGCTAAAAAAAAAGGAGCAATATATTAAATTTAAATTTATATTTAATGCCTTGCTAAAAGCACACATTACACATTTAATTGTTATTATATTTATATTTATATATATATTGTATGTATATCTCTATTTATCAGTTTCTATGTATATCAGTGTTGTCTCACACACATGACAAATTCAACGGCAATTTCATATTTCAACTCTATTCGTATTCGTATTCGTATTCATATTCAATATTCATATTCATTTTATCTATATATATTTTATGTATATGCAAACCCAGATTTATTCTTCATATGCATATCGCGATATTCATAGATTTATATTCTGTATATTCGTATCGTTAATATTACACACTCGTACACATTTATGGATATAATAATAATAATATAGCTCTTGCGATTCATTGGATGATATTTCATTGTCTTCGTATTGTGTGTTAGTGCCAGTTGGTTTTTTTTTTTTTTTGTTGTCTTGGATTATTCATTCCGCGGATAGTTGCCATACCTAAATACATATTCTCTTCTCTTCTCTTCGTTTCGTTTCTTTTATTTTCTTAGCTGTTAGTCGTTGTTAGTCGGGGTTTTAGCTACTGTTCAAAATGAAAGGAAATACAGTTGGACAGTGGGAAATAATTTCTATGTACACACATCTTTTTGGGTTAAAATCTACATGCAGAAAAGCAAAGATAAAAAGAAGTATGCCGCATTCCGTTTCTCGCAATGGATCTGTACAAGCTAACAAAGTGAAATATCTGGCAACGGTCTAGGACCCATTCGATTCGATTTAACTGATCCTTTGGCTACGACGACTTGCCAGTGTTAGGGCTAGGTAGGCACACATTTACAGGGGGGTATCTACTACACATACATATTACATACAGTTCTCTATTATATAATATATTATATTATTCCCTACTATATATTCGGATGACTCTGATGGGATGGCTCTTGTGCGCGTTTACTGCTTGCATTTTTAATATAATAATAATTATAATAATATATATATTTATATGTATGTTTGTGTGTATTGTAGGATATGCCTGTGTCGCTGAATTTGCTGTTTTTTTTATTATATACTAATACACAACATCCAAGTGTCTAAGAAGCTCTTGATTTTGTTCTTCGAATACAGGTTCAATACTAACTATTTTATGCAGGGGAGTATTTATTTGTATGCAGGATGCTGGTTGCAGCTATGTATCGTATGAGTATGTTTCTGTAGGAGTTTTTCCACTAGCATATACTTTTCACTTCCATTCACTTCACTTCACTTCACTTCATTATGTTTACCAGTTGGCATAAGCATCAAACATATGTATTTGATGGGTGCTTTAGCTTTAGCTTTCCACTCTCCAGTTTTAAGTTTCGCCATCGTTATGTGTGGCCGATAGCCAGCGCTTGTTGCTGTGAGATCACCTGCATACCGTGGAATCATCACCGGCGCATATCGAGTGCGGGGCAGCCAGAAAGAGTTTGCCATTGGAGCAGGCGCACAGCTGGAAGACGCGATGCATGTGTTCCCGACTCTGGGCAGTGCCCATTATGGGTGGCTGTGCCGTGCGCAAATTGGGCATCAGGATTTTCGATGACTCCAGTCGCACCTGCAGCGCCATAAGCAGAAAGAGACAGGGACAAGGTCATCCAAGGTGCAACCAACTGCAGCCACTGTGCAAGTACGTGTACGAGTACGTGTACGAGTGTGGGTCCCCATGATTTAGGGCACTATTAATCATACTTACGCTTCCGTCAAGTGATCGCAGCTTCACATCGTTCAGGGCCACGACATCAATGGCGCCCGCACGTGACTGCAAATTGATGTCCTTGGCCGCTGCCATCTTCAACTGGCGCGTCGGTGACTCAAGTCTGCAATTAAATCAAGCCAGAGATGAGTTGCGGCAGGGCTGAATCCTAATGGAGTGGAAACTTGCACCGCAATTGCGGTGCAGTCCGAATAAATGACGCTTTAAAAATATTGCAATTTCAATTGGGAGCCCAGGCGGCGGCACCTATGGCCAAATGCAATATAAACTCATCCTGCGGTATATGTGCGCGGCGCCAGACAATTTTAATTTCCATGAACCAACAGGCAGGCAGCTATCACCAAACTTGTCAATGAAAATGTTATTACAAGCGGCCGATCCTGTTAATGGTTCATATGTACATATGTACACACGGGACATGGGGGGCACGGGGCACGGGGCACGGGGCACTGTAAAGCATAGATGGATGGGACCCCCCGCGCCCGTTACCCAATCGAATTCCCCAATCCCAATCCAGTGCGCGCTGTCCAAACAGGACCGGCGGGGGGCAAAGAGAGAGAAAAAAAAAGAAACTGTGTGTTGGGCCCCTTTAGCGCTTTTTAATTCAGTGCCAACGTTTGTATACATTCATACAAATGTGTGTAAATATTTTCGCCAGCAACTCTGCGCTTCGGCGACACCTAGCGGTGGGGGCGGGGCAGCCGGCAGCCTGCAGGTTGCAGGTGCAGGTGGCAGGTTCAGGTGCAATGCATTGCGAACACCAAACACAAACACAAACAACACCTGTCCCCTCGCCACACCCACACACCCATCACACTCACACTCACACTCACACTCACACTTGGCTGCGATTTGTGGGTGGTGCGGGTGGTGCGGATGACTGTTTTTTTGTTGTTACCGCAAGAGGTGACGTTGACAGAGGCGCACGAGCGCAGCTGAGTGTTTGCTTTTAATTTTTTATTTCTCAGATTTCCTTTAACCCTTCATGCCTGCCCGCCGACTAATATGCCACAGCATGCTCGCCCGAGTGGGCTCTATCGACTCTGTCGGTGTGGAGAGTGGGCTGGCCGGGCTTCGGGGCGCTCCTGCCGGGCTATGAATTCCGCAAAATTTATTACAGTCATTGAATTTCAACACAGCACAGGAAAGGACAGGAAAGGACAGAACAGAACGGCGGCAAATGGCCTGGCTGCAGTAGATTGGCTTTCGATTTAATTTACTTTAATTGGTGCTGGTGCTGCTGCTGCTGCTCCTGTTCCTTGTTGCTGGCTTTTGCCGTAGAACCATGCTAAGGATGTTGCGATCGGTAAATGAAAAAACAAAACTCCCCCATGGTGAGCAGGAAGGGACTGTGGGTCCCTGGTCTTGCACTCTACTGGCACTTACTTACCTCAGCTCCCGGCCCGGCTCGGCACGCACATGCGGCGTCTGCACAGAGGCCCTGAAGACGGCGCCACCCTCGCCGTCGATCCGCAGCGAGTGCGCACCGACTGTGACTTCTTTTCGATTAACGGAAAATAGGTTTCGTCCATTCGTATCGTTGATGCGAAATGTCGCCGCCAGGCACTCGAACTTATCGTGTCCCAGAAATAAATGATTCTCAATCATACCATTCGCGTCACGTGTATTGATTGAAAAATTACGTGATGATTCTGTTGATGGTAGCGACGATGGGCCCGGTACCGTGGTGATGGTGGTGTTGGAGGTGTCGAGGCGCATAGAAGAGAAATGAAATGAGAAACAGAGAGAGAGAGAGAGATGTGATACAGTGAGACTCAGAATTGGATTGCTATTTTTTTTTTGGGGGGCTGGGGGGAGTAGAATGAGCAATTAATCTAAAGGGTAATTTTATCCGTAATTGCAATATAAATAAGCTAATATACAAAGGCAGAGACACAGGCAGAGACACAGGCAGAGACACAGACTATACACACACACTCATGCACATGGCAGTGCGTAGTTAAGATAGCACGTAATAAGATAGCGGAAACGGAAATCAAATTTCAGACCTCTCCCAGTCTCCCCCCAACGTCTAGCATTGTCTCAGGTCGCGTTTGGAGTCGCATTGCCATTGCTATCAGCAATCAGACAACCAGCCCCAGCAGCTACCTGCCCCGGCTTGGCCTGGCCTGTCCTGGCCTGGCCTGTCCTGTCCTGTCTCTTCTTGTACTATCATGACCCATCACCCATTCGCCATTCGCCATTCGCTATTCGCCATTTCGCCATCTACAAACTACTATGTAGCATTCAGTGTGTCCCGTACCCACTTCCGTGTGCGTGTCTGCGGTTGTTGCTTATCGCTGCGGGAAATGCCTTTGCCTTTGCCTTTACGTCTTCACTTCTCTTCACTGCTTTTGCCACGTCTCGTCGACACATGGGCACGCAGGTCCCTTGGAAATCGCATCCGTCTTCTTTGGTCTGGTCGTGCATTCATATGGGCTATCTGTAATTGTACATCTTGTGCCAGCCATCAGCTGCTGCTGCTGCTGCTACTGCTGCTGCTGCTGGTGCTGCTCCTTGCGGAGCACCAATAGCCCCGATCTCATTTGTGGGCGCTTACTCGTTCCACGTTCCGTGCGAGCAACATTGTTGATATCTCTTGATTTATGCCCTGACTGGCAACGGGGCACACATTTGTCGTAGTCTCAGTATCAGTCTCAGTCTCAGTCTCTAATGTTCGTATGCCGCATCCATGTTTAATCTCAGCACGCAGTTGCCCTTAAGCAGATGTAAACACACCACACCTGAGTCTGCATAAAGGCGATGAGGGCGCAGTTCATTAAACATGCGCCAAATGCCATTCAGCCAGTCATCGGGGGCAGCTCAGTGCAGCGGCAGAGCACAGCCACCAGAGACTACAACAACAAAGCGCAACAAAGCGCGGTCGGTCACTTGCATGACTTTGACATTTGGCAGATGGGAAGGTCACAGCGGTGACGTGACCCTTTGTGTGTGCTCCCCACACCACCACCCCACCAGACTCGTCTTTCTATAGCAAAGATAACAGCTATAATATGGCCTATAATATGGCCTAATGGAGTGGCAGCAGTTGGCTGCATGAAATCTTAAAATTTATGAAATTAATATTAATGAGGGAGAGGTGCTCTGTTCTGTTCAGTTGAGTTGGTTCAGTTGATTTCTGTTTATGACGTTGTCTGCTTGCATCTAATCACTCAATAATCAATTCGCACACTCACCTATCGATAGGGGGTGGCCAGGCCTCGAACGGATTGTTGATGTGCGCAGCATGTCCATAATTATCGCTGTGCCCGACAGCTGTATGCCATTGGGTAAGATTTTCAGCTGTCCCATGCCCTCCTGCAATCGATGATAGGAAATTGATCAATTAATACCGTTGAGTGTGGCGTGTGGCACGTGTGGCACGTGTGGCTGCCGCCTCGCTTACGTACCAATGAGAACTGCATCACTTTGATTATCCAGAGGGTGAGCACCAGATTGGTGACAATGAGCAGCATCAGCAGCAGCAGCAGCGCGTACAGGCACTTCTTGCGCCATCCGATGAGTCCCAAGTATGTCTCAATTCCGCCCGCGAAACCATCAACGTTGCACTGACCTGTCCTGGGCCCAGCAACGCCACTGCCACTGCCACTGGCTCCAGCTGCAGCTGCAGCAGCAGCACTGCGACCACTTCTGCCGCCCCGTCCATGCCCGTGCCCGTGCCCGTGCCCGTGGCCGTGTCCGTGACCCCGGCCATGACCATGTCCATGGCTATGGCTGTGAACGTGACTGAGCGTCGCTTTGCCTGGCGTTGCTGTCACTGTCGTCATGGTGCCTACCTTTGTGGACGATTGGATGTTTGCAGCTGCAATCCCACTTCCACTTCCACTTCCGCTTCCGCTTGCTCTGTTGCTGTTGCTGCTGCTGTTGCCAGCTGTCATTAGGCCAAGATTGTTGCCAGCTTTGTTCGGCTTCTTGGGCGTTGTACCCGTCGATAATCGCTTTTGCCGCTTCTGTTGTTGCTGCTGCTGTTGCTGCTGCTGTCTGCTACCTTCACCGGAACCGGAACCCGCCTTAAGGTGCCGCGTAGTTGTCTCCACGCTGCCGTCACCCGACATTGTTGATGGTTTTGCACCGCCACTACTGAGATATGCTTAGCCCCGCTCTGGACTCGTGCATCATTTGGACGTTTTTCTTTTTTTCTTGATTTTTGAGTCTCACTTTGCCGCTCTGCTTTGGGGGTTTTAATGTCTGCGCGTGATCTGCCTGCGGAAAGCGAAAGAGAGACAAAGGTTTGAGTATTCACTTTCCTGCTGCGACCTATGGGTTCTATGATTCGATTGGGCACCCAAAATGAATGCTCCCTGTGAGCCTGGCACAGCCTGAGTGTTCCAAAGATATATTGAAGCATGTAATGTACATGGATATTTTTTTGTATGGGTAACCATAAATCTCTGCAATTGCAAGAGTAATGTGTGGCCATTCCTTTGTGGAGTGCCGGGCAGATGAGCTGCGGCAGGCAGTGCATGGTGGGAGAAGCATTAAAATATGTAACAGGCTGTTGCAACCAGCCTTCACTGCGTCGAGCTAGCTACAGCTACAGATGCAACTGCAACTGCATCAGTTGATGACTTTAGTGGTGCCAGCTGTTGGCGACTTCACACGTGCAGCTTCTTAATTATGCATGTCTGCAGCTGCAGCTGCAGCATACACCTGCACATATATGTATGTATGTATGTATTTGCAGCAGCAACAGTGCCACACAATGTGGGTGTGCATGATGCATTTACATGCATGAGCTCCATGGAGAGCTATGGAGCTGACGCCACCAACGACCCAGACCGTGTCTGTGTCTGGCTCTGGCTCTGGGTATATATTTATTAAACCATTCTGTCAAAAGAAATCATAATAAATACAATAAAAAGTCATAAATGAATAAATTATACACTTTTTTTGCTCATGAGGCTCATAAATAAATAAATAAGTAATTCTAGAGTTGCGAGTAAATTATTTTCCAGCCCTCAAACGGCATGGCATACGTGGCGTGGCATGGCCTACATGCCACACACAGACTGATGTCAAAGGTAATCTGTTGAAATCACACTCTGTGGCTGAGTAGCAGTCAGTAGCAGTCAGAGAATGGAGCTGTGCATTCTCAGCCAATGAAAGGTGCGTACCATACCCCCCAGGTACCAGGTGCGTTCACTCAAAAATAGTTCACAAATTGATCATGATTTTTGGAATTGTCAACCATCTAAAATTAGAGGACTGTCGTAGCACGCAAAGCGTCGCGTCGCGTCGCATCTCCGATCTGTTCGCTCTCTACACTCACAGAAAAAAAATGGCATAACATATTTAAATTATTCGGGTTTTAAAAACAAACATGGGGAAATTAAAAAGAATTCACATTGATGCAAATATAATTGAATTTAAAAAAATATTAAAAAAAAAATATAAATATACAAAAATATAAAACACTTTAAAACATAGAAAGAATATTAAATTTAAATAAGATGCATATTATTTGAATATAAAAATAATTCATTTAAATATGAATTGAAGTAAACATCAAATATGAAAATTTAAATCAATTATTTGGCCCCTTTTCTTGGCCACTTCCACTCTCGGTGAAAATCTGTTGGCACAAATGTTTTAATCGGAGTGTAACTATTTGATGCTCAGTGATATTTTCTCTGGGTGTAGGTCTTTCGCAATGCCTTCTTGACAATCAAGTCGAATGGAGGAATGGACGAATGGAGGAATGGCCAATGAAATACATTTTGCGCGCTGCGCTCTCAATAAATGTTTATAAATAAATGTATAGATAATTCTTGTTGGAGCAAACTTATTTTTATTCATTTCGTAAGTACATGAAGCGCTCCGGCATGAATGATGGTCTCAGTTAGTTCCATATATTTTTTGGCTTGAAGGCCTACTGAGCATAGGAATTGCCCTGCCCTGCCCGTAAGTATATTTTTTGGCGATTTATATTCTAAAGAATAATGGGAATCCTCTGTACACAATCTCTGAGTCTCCCATCCATGACCATGGGTCTGCTATTCTGCTATTTGTTTATGTTTATCATAATGTTTATACAGTCTGCGGCGGCAATTACTTCAATTGTTTATGGAGCATTTTAGTGCATTCTAATCGGTAAACAAAATGGCCCAGACAGACGGAGAGACAGACACCCCAGCCCAAGCGAATTGATAATTACAATGGAGGCAATTAAATTTGGGGATTTGTGATCTTCAGATCAGCCTTTCATTTGCTCGTTAGGGTCTGTGGAAATTGTGTTCATGTGTGGTTGGAATCGATACCAAAGGTTTAATCTTCCAGTTAAGGACAAAAGGATTAAGAGTTAGCGGAATCAGAGTCAGAGTCAGCGTCAGACAGTGGGGTATTCGGTGGTGGTATTGGCATGGGAATATCCGGCAATCAAATAAAAATAAATTCATTTAAATTGCGAATCACAAAGAGCACAGAGCACAACACAGAACACACAGAGAGCAACTAAAGGGGAATATTTGGGGTTTATCTGACCAAAGAGCAAAGTGAAAGATAAAATGGAAAGGTTAAACCATGCGATGGGGCTGTGGGGGTGTGGGGTAGCAGGGCAATGGATTATTTTAAATGCACTTGATACATTTTCCCGCACTGATGCGCACCATTCCCGCCAGGCAATTAAGATGAGTAGCATATGCCCATTTAAATATTCCCATACACAAATTATTTCCTATTTAAAGATTCTTTTAATTTAAAGCAGCCAAAGGCGCAAGGCCCAAGCCACAGATGCAAGCCCGAATGGGTGCCAATTCCAATTCCATTTTCATTCTGCATGCGGCCTATACGAGACAGGATAGCAGAGGGGGTAGGGGGGGCCCAGCAAGGATCGTGCTCCGTGAATTGTTCAAAGGAGTTGAAGTTGATTTAGTATCTGCAGACAGTTGGTCGGTTATTACACGCACCCAAATGGCGGGGATCAGGATATGCCGGCATGGAGGAGCTGGTGACGACGATGGAATTACGACACTGGAGAGTGCCATATAAACTCCATTGGGGGCTACAACTACAAACAGCATCACGTACGCCACGTTACAGTTACAGTTACAGCAAAAGTTACAGTCACACACACATGCACAGTTGCCGCTTACAGTTACTTAATTTGGATGCTTCCGCTTTTGCTTTTTTGGCTTTGAGCAGCTTGCAGCTTGGAAGCTACCCCTCTGTTGCCAGTTGCCAGTTCCCTGTTCCCCCCGTTGCTACACGTTATTTGCAGTATGGCATTAGTACCCATGTACCCATGTACCTACAGAAGTTTTGGCCGCTGCACATTTTTCCGCTTACATTGTGTAAGTCATAGGAAATTACTGGCCAAGTCGTGCGTACTCCAAGATATGCTACACAAGAGTGGCAGAGAGCAGCAAATAGTATGAGGGATCATATCCGATATCCGTCTACGGATATCTGTACGTATATGTAGCCACACATAAGTGCACTGACAAATCGAACTGCCCCAACATGCCCAGGGAGAGTGCATTAAGTCGGCGCCAGCTCCAAGGACATCGCTGGCTAAAGTGCATTTGTATGCGTACAGTGGATTTATGTAGTGTGTGGACACTACCCGGCCTCCCTGCCTTCCTCTCGGAAACGGCAACTTATGAAGTTGCTTAAAAGTCCTTGGCAGTGGGTAATTAAAAGCGAAATGGGCTTATTTCGAGCCGTGCCCTGACGACAGCCCTTTCCAGTCTCCCAGTCCACAGTCGGACTGCAGACCAGACCGCACCAATGGAGTTGGATTCGGCTGTCGGCTGTCGGCAAGGATGTCAGAGATGGAAACAGGTGCCGGCCAGCGCCCCCAGCACACCCAGACCGACACTGAGACGGTCCGAGACTTGGTTTGACTCGTTTATAGAAATAAACTCGTAAATGGAAAGTATTGCATTGTCCTGCTATTAAGTTATCAACAACGACGGGAACGGACCCAAAAACATAGACGCATAATGAGACACAGACACAGACACAGACATGGGACACAGATGGCGAGACCCACATACAGTATGCATATGTGACCAGCCAAAGGGTTGGACTCCCTATCTCCCTCTCCACGTTGAGGTTGAGCCAGCCGGCTGTGCTGTGTCACGTTCCGGACTAGGGCATGGGCATGGCATGGGTACTGGACATAGTCCTACTGCTACTCCTAGTCCTAGTCCTAGTCCTAGTCGTGGTCGTGGTTTTTGGAATAATGCTCCTCCAGCTCTGACTCTGAGTCCGGGACTTCGACTCTTGGAACCGGCACAGCAGTTTCATATTTTGTTACAATTTCATGTTGTGTTTTTGGGGTGGAAGGTGGAAAGGGTGTAGGTTGGTTGTAGTTGCCACATTTAATGGCGCTCGTACGTTTTGGTAAGCACTGCCACTGCCACTGCCAAAGCAGACAACACTTGTTGTCATTGTTGTACGTATGTATATTGTTATGTCCTTGTTGCCGCCTGCAGGACATTTTTATTCCAATCATGCGTAAGTGCCATAGGGAAGCCAAAAACCTTAAATTTCCACCACACCACCACGACACCACCCATACATAAACTAATATCTTTTACTGCTCTATGAGCCCTCTGCTGTGCCAACGGGCCTAGCCAGTTACAGTTGTAGAAAAAAGGGACATTGCAGCCGAAAATGATTTAAAATTCTCTCTCTATTTGTGGGTCTATTTGTGCAGCAACTATTGTGCATCAGTGTAGATCACTGCATGTCTTTTGGAGCCCAACAACTATTTACTTATCGCTGGCAAAGTGTTCCAGATTTATGCCCAGCAACTGCAGGACAATTTTTAGTATTTTTGACAGCGGAAAGTTTGCAGATCGGTGATCGCTGATCAGTGATCAGTGATCAGTGATATCTTGGCATAAAATCAAGCTAATATTTTTGCACGTAAATATAGCAAATGTTTCACCTAATTTCAATGTCAAATAGAAACAAAGAGCAATAACTTTGTTTTTTATTTAAGGCACTGAGCAGAATAAATGGCCACTTGGCGGGTATTATGACATACATACACTTATATAATCATGGAGAAGCGCGATCTTTGATCTCTGACCTTCACAAACACTGCCGATCAGCAGCAGTCCAAGAACACGGCCAGTCACAATGGAAGCCACTCAGATCACACAGCACGTCACAGTTCGCACCATCGCACCACCACAGAACACAAAACACATAAAACATAAAACACACACAAAAAAAGCACAAACAATTTTAGTTTTGTTTTTTCTTAGTTTTTTTTTTTTTGGTTTTTTTTTTTTGTTACCGCTTGAGAACAAATCTTTGAGAAACTTGAGAAATTTGTTCTTTGATTGATTTTTACGCCAAAATGCCGCTGACGTATGCGCGTACGGGTTACCGTACTCGTACACGCTTGCACAAGAACTGATGGCAGGAATCAGTGTGCCGGAATGTTAGCCATTCCGTCCGTTTAAGATACAGCGGCAGCCAGTCGCCAGTAGCCGCTGCCGTTTCTGCTGCTGCCTGATGTTCGGGCTGATGGTCGGGTCCATAAAGCTTTCGCCGAACAACCAGCCAAAAGTTTCACTCAAACATGGGTTGGCTGTGGCCAAGTAGCTCGTTTCTCGTATCTCGGCTGCTCGTCCCACGGCCACGGCCTCGTCTTTGCTCGGGCACCACTCGACGCGACCCGACCCGAGTGGCACGGCCCTCGCCCTCGCTATCGAGTCGTTCCGGTTTGTTTACGTTTTCGTGTACCGAGCACCGAGCACATGGCTCAGGTGCCCGATGGATGCATTCAACACGTGGCTGGTACTACAATGCGCACGTGTTGCTGCTGGCCAGCTAGCTACCAGCTACCAGTAAGGTCTGGGCACGATCATGCACGTATATCTTCATCCGAGCACCAAGAATATCTGCGATGTGGCTGTGGAGGCTGTGGAGGGCTTCCAGCCCGAATTGGAATTTAAATATGCATGGTCTGGTGCACCGATTTCACATGTTGCTGCCATCCATTGGCCGTCATATCTGCTTGCGCTATGTCGTTAACTCCTTAAGCTCCATTTGGTGTGAGCCCGGATATACATACGTACATATATACGTATGCCTCGCACTCTCCACTGCACGCCCTGGTATGGGTACGGCTATGGCTATGGCAATGGCTATGGGGTATGAGGAAAACTTGATTAAAGTTTCGCCAGAATGCGTAAATTATTCATTGTATTCGTATACTCGTATGTGTATCGGTAAGAGAGAGAGTGAGTGAGAGCGAGGGAGAGTGGGTGTAATAAGCCGTCGCTTTTTACACTTAGTCAAGGGATTCAAAAACCTTGGGGTGTGGGTGTGTGGTGTGGGTGTGTGTGTGTGGGCTTGGGTTGGCTTTTTGCTCTTTTCTAAGTTGGACTACCCTTACCCCCGGCTCGCTTTCATTCCCATTCCTATGCCCATGCCCCTGCCCCCCTGCCCATGCGTATTTATAAATTAAAAGCGTGTTCATCTTTGGCCAAAGTTCATAATTTTTGCGCCTTCATTAGGAACATGCTCGCAGGGGCAGAGACCGCCGCCGCCGCCGCCGCCTGGCATGACAGCCACACACACACCCACACCCACACCCACACACACCCTCATATGTATGTTTATACACTTGTGTGGAATGGTGTCCCTGGTCCTTCTAATTGTCTTTGCCAACAGCTGCTGCTCGCAGGCTCTGGGCGTCGTCGCCGCCCCCTTTGAATAGGACGTGGATCAGGTGCGGAACAGCGTCCAGACGGGTCTCAGGTCTCGGGGCCACGTGCCAAGAATTGTTCCCTGCTGATCTGGCGACGTAAATTTATTTGGGGCCGATCAGGTCACACATCGGAAGTACGCTCCTCGCTTTCCTGGCAACACAAATTGGGCGAAAAAACACACCAAAACGCTGGACGTACCGCCCAGCTCTACCACTTGTCTTTGACGTTGTGTATTGTTCAAATCTGCTGCCACTTTTTCCAGCTACTCTGCACACGTCCTTTTATATATACATATGTGGAATCGCATATGTTGTGGTGTGTGTGTGTGTGTGTGTGTGTAGGATGGGTGTGGGTGGTGGTGCCCAAAAATGCTTTTGTAGTGCTCCAAGAAGGAACTTCGCAGTCTAAATCGCTGTCACAGTCGAAGTCGCACCCACTGGCAGTCAGGCAGCCAGGCAGTCATTGTGGAAGTTTAAGTTGGTACGCCCACAACACACCCACATCCCTGCTGCAAACAGTGTTAACCCCACACCGCCACCACCACCACCCCACACATGTTAATTGTTCTCCGCAACGGGGGCACGGCTGGCAGGTTCGTTGGTTCGCTGGAACAGTTGTCGCCCGCCCCACTATTTTGCTTGCCCTTTTATGAATTTATAATTTTAAAACTTGTTTTCAACTGGATTTAGCTCTTGGATTTGGCAGCAGAATGGCCCAACTGGAAAAATAATGAGGCAGGCAGCCTGGCCTGGCCTGCCATGCCTCTCTGCCATATACCCAAAGTATTTATAAGATGACGCTCCACACACAGACTGCTATTGTTGATCATACGCCCTCCATGTTGGATGGTAGATAATACAGTGGATAATAGCAGTCGGCTAACAGTGGACCAGTGCCAATGTATTCTTAATGCATTCTTTCATTTTCTGTATACATATTAACAAACCAGCAGTAGGCGCTCAGGTTCGTGCGCTTCTGAAGCTAATTACTTATATTGGGGAAGTCTTTCTCGTTTTCTCTAACTTTTTTTCGTCTAAAAATAAAGTATTTTAATGCAACTTAATTGGCAGTGCAGTAAGCAAAATACGAGAAATCTATGAAAACAAATTGAGATGTGTTAGTGGGAGAGTGCGTGATTCGTTCGGAGAGGATCAAAAGAGCGAGATGTGAGAGCGTAAAGCTCGTTCCACTAAGATAGCGAGTGGTGAGAAAGAGACGGATATAACTGTTGTTATTTGCATCGTACATAATAATTGTCTTTAAAAAATGGTCTTGCAATGATGTGAGCTTGAACGGAAATCGCCATTTCGATGCTAAACAATTCTGGTTTTAGTAAAAGGAAAAGAAAATAAAAATATACATAAACACCTTAAATATACTTTTAAATTATTTGATCATTATCAGAAGAAAGTTTTGTGACAACTGGGGCCATAAAGACACTGCTGGATATATGGCAGCAGAACATTGGTATGAACACAAAATCCCACAAACTCTACAAAGAAAAGTCAGAAACTAATAAGATAAAAATGAGCCTCAATATTAGTTTATATAATTAAACGTTCAGATTAATGTTAGCCCGAAGTCGAGATACCAGCCCTTAAACTGATAAAACTGATCTCGAAATTACACATAAATCAAAAGCTCACATTTAGGCTGACTGACTGAGTACGGGTAAAAGTAGAGTCGCGTCCCCAGAAGCGACTCGCACGTTCCTTCTCGTTTTTTTTGTTGCGTGTGGCCGCTTTTGTTCTAATTATTACAATTTCGAATATCAGAAATAAAATAAAATAAATAAAATTGCTTAATATGTACTATAGCAATGCCCGTTTGAATTGATACATTTGGGCTGCTCTGCATATGTTTACAGTGATGCTGCTTTGCAAGAACCAAAAAAAAAGGGGCACTCCATGGGTGCAAAGTACTCGCACACAGCTTCTGCCAAAAACCATTGTCCACCGTAGGTATTCCCTTATTGGACACATACTCGCACATACATATGTAGGTGTTCGAATGTGAATTTGTACGTATGGAGGGCAAACAGTCGTGTGTCACTTGTGTGTCTGCATATTCACACCCAGCACACACGTGAGTATCTGAATGTGTTGTAGCTGCAAAATACGGTCTACTCTCTACTGTCTCCGGTTGCCCAATGTGGAGGTAGAAGCCGGGCAACGAGACCGACCACCGGATACACGATGTTGCGGCTGGCGTGGCTCTGCTCTGCTCAGCTCGGAGTTGTGCAAACAACCATAAATAAAGCAAGCAATCAAACATACTGTTGTCCTCTGATTATCCTAATTTGTATGCCAGAATTTGACACATGACAATTGACACTAGTTACAATAGTAACAACATCAACAGCGACATCAACAGCAACAGCAACAACGCAAAACTTGTGCACATATTTGGCAATCATTTATTTTCGAGCCAATTGAATTTTAAGTAGTCAAACATGCATACTCGTATGACAAACCAACGAAGGACCAAACAGGTCCCCCCACCCACCCACTACGTGCACACATACATTTACGCATCAGAATGCATTGAAACATACAGACAGACAGACAAGCTGGTACGAATATTTATGTACACATTTCAATGTACGGTGTATGCACCCTCTCGATAAAAATGTTGAACAGTGCCCAGCCCCCATCCCAACCCTGTGCCCCTCACCGTCCCCTTCCGAGCAATAATTCGTTCAAAACACAGCCATAAATATGACTACTAAAATCCATTGAATGGTTCTGTTTCATTGTTCCTTTGCCAGTGGGTACGAAAATTAATTGGTTCAAGTATTTGGCTTTAATAACGACTAAAAGTTGGACTTGGACACCAACACCAACAACAACCACAACCCATCACGAGTGGACGAGTGTCGTGCGAGTGTCATCGCAGATTAATACTTGAATTGATGGGGGGAAGACTTGGGCTGTTTTATTATCATGGCCACTAGTCACGAAGGAACTGGCAATACGTTTTTTGCCTGAAATTCCAGCAGTCTAGGCTGCAGTCTCAGTCCAAGTGCTGTCAACGGCAAAGGCAAGCAAAGGGAAGAGAGAGAGCTTCGCTTCAGAGGTGGAATCACATCATAAAATAGACATTCAGCCAGCCAGGCAGCCAGCCAGATTGATTGAGAGGTAGACTATCTGCGACGCTTCGTCGAGCTATGCACTAGTCACTAGTCCGTCCATCAATTGTTTCAATCTGAGTGCGAATGCAAAGTTATTGTTGTCGCAGTTGTTGTTTTGTCGATGGCTTCAGTTAAACGGCTTTGGCAGGAGCATCAGCATCAGCTTCAGCTTCAGCGAGACAGCATCAACATCCACATCAGTGGCAGGCAGCACCTCGCACCGCGCACCTTGCACCTTGCACCTGCAACAGCAGACGTCGTTGTCGTCATCCTCATCATGATGCGGAGCGTTGGTCTCTCCTTCCTGTTCCTGTTGCTCTTCCTGCCGCACAGCCGGTACATGCCGTAGGGCACCAAAAATCAACCAACTAACAATGGCAAAGCGTCGACGTGAAGTATCGCGACTCGACCCATCTACTCTGAGCTTTTTCTTTTTCTGCAGCAGCTCCTGCTGCCAGTGGGGGGGTCTGAGCCTGGGACTCGGGTATGCCCGGGCAAAGCGAGAGCCCATGAATAATTCCACTTCAATTGCACTTTGTATTTTTTCACATTTTTGCTGGCAGTGTAACCATACATACATCACGGTAACACAGCGTCAACGACAGACGACAGACGA